TATATATATACTGTATATGACTCCTATTTTTTTTTTTATTTTTTTGTTCCTCACGTTTTTCATGCTGCAGTTTCTCCAGCCCTCCTCTTTTGTCACTCCATCTGGTTCTCTCTCTGTCACCCCACCTCCCCTCATCCTTTTCACAGCGGTAATAATAACAGATCTGATGTCACCGTTGCCATGGCAGCCCTCTGAAAATCTGAAAACGGGGCTGTTTGAAGCGCGTGGTGGCCAGCTTCCTAGAGAGGAGGACTAAGTTATGCCGAACAGAAATTTGTCACGGTTTGTAGCTGTAGAACCCAGGTTCACACAGAGATCTAGAATAAAAACTAAATAAAACTTTAATAAATAAACAAAAAAGGCTGATGTAGCGTCAAAAACTATTACATAAAATAAGAAGAATGAAGCACAATGTCAGACTGAAGGTATGGTGACAACTGGGAGAATAAAAAACTGACTACAGTGAACAGGTGAAAGTGGGCGGGGCATAACCAGTGAGTGAAGACAGACAGTCTCAGCCCCCTGAGATGCTACCTTAAAAGCCATTTTGTGTCTCTGTCATGTGTCTTTGATCGTCTTCTTTAGGTGAACAAGAGCCTCCCTCTCCGTCTGTGTGATGCCGGGCCGTGGGTGAGTCTGTGCCCGTGACCAGACTGAAGCTGGGGAAGTTAAAGGTGGTGCGGCGGCAGCTGCTGCAAAGGTACAGGACCTTGAACACTTCACATCATTTCAATGTCAGTTTATTTATATAGCACATAAAAACAATAAAAGAAACAAAGAAATGTTCAAATTAAAGAAATGCAACATAAAACCATCAGCTCTGAAAGAATCTCAAACTCCGCCAGGATAAAAGCTCTTAAGCGTAGATTTGAAAGTCTCAACGGTCTCAAGGGTCTGTATATAAAATGTAAACCATTCCACAGGTTTCGATCACCTCTGAATTTTAGTTTGGATGGTCGGGTTGGTTGGAACACCTACGACTTATTACTAGGACGTATTATTTATCCTACATCAAAAAATAAGACTGAAAACTGAGTTTGTGACGAACTGTAGCTTCATAAAACATAATAAAATACTATTTTTTTACAATCTGAAAACATGTAGAACCGTTCACTGTCCTCTGAGAGTGCTGTGGTGCAAGACTGACTCACTGCTTCTTACTAAAACAGTCTGATGACATCATCAGGTGTGTGTGTTGCTTGGAGTGACACACTTCATTTTGCTTAATCTTCACATTTTCTCAGGATAAAATGAAATTGTTAAAAACAAATAATATTTAGGCCCACATGTATTTGCTTTTCAGCGGTGTTGCTTAACTTTTACGTTTTCTCAGCTCTTTTGTATTTTGACGGTTTCAGGTACGAACACCAGCCCTTCGTCTCCTGCCTGGCCGGTCTCTATGGCTGCCAGTGGAGACGGTACCAGAGAGCGAAGGCTCAGCCGGGAGAGTGCTGCTGCAGCAAGGTAAACATCCAGACACAGCAGCGTCTAGAAACAGCAGGCTGAGTATCGATTCTTCAGCCTGCTGACTCTGACGGCTACCAACAGCGTTTTTCTTTGGAAGAATATCAGCTTATGTGTGCATACTGTCAGCGTTCATCAGAATTAGTTCTGACATATGCATAATATAATCTGCGATAGACTTCCTGTGTACCTGCCAGGAGGTACTAAACCCTTCAGTTATGATTAAATTAAGAAAAAAACTGACTTTGACTTCATCTCTTCAGCCTTCTTCAACTATAAACATTACAGTTTTGCTTGAAGTTTGCTGTTTTATAGTTTGTAGTAAAGACAGTACTTTTATTTGTGTAAAATAAACCCCCCTCTGTGTGTTTTCAGGTGGAGTGTGGCAGTTTTGGCCTCCTGATCCTCACCTTCTTCCTGAGTTTTGTTTTTCTTTATTTCTGGAGTGAAGCCCAGAATGACTACAATGACTTTGACTGGTGGGTGTGACGCAGCACAAGCTGATGCTAATGTTGGCTCAAACGTTATATCACCATCATAATAATGCATAGTTTAAAAAAAAATCACTAATTTAGCTCAAAACACCTCCATAATGTAGTGTCTCTTCATAGAAAATACTGAAAAAATAGCTAAATTTTTTAGTTGCAGTCTCACTAAACTTTTGTGTTTGTAAAATCTTATAATTCAGATTTAATTTATAAGCTGTTACTGTTTGTCTCTGCAGGTTTAACTTCGGGACTCTCGGGTTCTGGTTTCCCTGGTCTCTGGTCCTGCTGGTCGTCGCTGCTGCTCTCTTCACGTACGTCGCCCTGTTACTGGTGAGCAAAACAGATCAAATCAAGCCAGCTTTATTTATAAACACTTAAAAACAGCTAAACTGACCAAAGTGCTGTACAATCATAATATAAAAACAACAACATAAAATATGTAATACACAACTTGACAAACAAAACGACCTCTCTCATGCTCAGACAAAGACTAGTGAAAAGAGATGAGTTTTAAAAATGGATAGTGAAGCAGCCTGTCTCACAATGGAGTATTAGGGCCACACAACAAGATTTTTTTTATTTTTTTTAAATTGCGAGAATAAAGTCATAAAATTATGACATTAAAGTCGTATAAAAATAAAGTCATAATATTACAAGGTTAAAGTTGTAATATTATGATATTAAAGTCATAATATGAGAATAAAGTCCTAATATTACGAGATTATAGTCATAATGTTATGAGGTTAAAGCCGTAATGTTGCAAGATAGAAGTCATAATATTATAAAATTAAAGTCCTAATGTTACGAGATTAAAGTCATAATAATATGAGAATAAAGTCATAATGTTAGTGTAACAACCCGAGAGTTGTACAATCAGTAAATTGTTTTTTTTAGTCTCCACCTCTGTAACCTTTAATCAGTGATTCTGAGCACCTGTGCACGTTGCGGTGACTCACCTGTTAAAAGCTGCCCTTAACCACAGCCGGTTCGTTCGTTCACTCGCCTGAGGAGGAAGTGTTCCAGCAGTCCTTGTGTTTCCCTGTATTGCTTTGGCAGTGACCCGTAAAAAGGCGAGACCAGTAAATCTCCCGTTAGCTTGGTCATAACTTCGTGGAACTTGTGGACTATTTTCTCACTCTGTTCACAAAGTGGTGAACCTTTCCCCATCCTTGCTTGTGAACAACTGAGCCTTTCGGGGATGCTCCCATTATTGTTTTATCAGTTTTTTTGCGCATTCCTCAAGTTTCCCAGTTGTTTGTTGCCCCTGTCCCAGCTTTGTTTGGGATGTGTTGCAGGCATCAAATTAAAAATTTGTGAATATTTTCAAAAATAACCTAAATTTTATTTGTTTGAAAATTAAATATTTTGTCTTTGTTGTGTATTCAATTGAATAACATCATAAAATCATAATATTTTGCTTATATGTATGTTTTACACAATGTCCCAACTATTTTGGGGTTGTAAAAGCTATTTTCTGGAGGTCCTGGGGAAATATTTAGTGTTTGGAACCAAAACCAGAGACCACTAGTAGCAGGATGCTGTTTCATCTGTCTGAATGTTGTTGTCAAGTTACGCATTTTGCTTCTGAATTTACAGAATAATGCATCTTATAAAACACATTAAAGCACTTGTTTCGTAATTCATATTACCCATTTGGCCCTCCAGCGGTGCACAGCATTTACTGGAAGGGCCGGTCAGCTTGGCCGAGGTGCCACGTATTACGCAAGACTTTTTATATAACACACAAATGTGCCCAGAAGAAGTGATTAAGACTTCTGCTTCAGCAGTTCACCCACAAACTGTGGCAAAATTTGATTAGAATGTTCAAATAGCACAGGTTTAAGAAAGTATAAAAAAAAATAACATGTTAATGTTAAAGCTGCTTTTTAGGTCTGTAAATATTAGGAAACTGATATAATATTTTTGTTCAAATAACTAGTTACACTTGTGTAATTAATATTTTAATCAGATTTCAGGTTTAGGGTTATAAATGTGTGCCATACAAGAAGAAAGGTTTGGTAACGCACTGCTAATCTGTTGCTCCAATTCTTAGCTAGTTAAGCTTACTTAGTCAATTGTTTTTTTATTTTATCTTGACGTTCTTTTTCTATATACTTCATACCTTACACTTTAGTTTTATTCTTTTTTTAAACCTTTGTATTTTTGATTTCTACTCCTTGTTTACGTCGTGTGTTCTGCACCTCAAAAACAGTGTGTTTAATTCTTAGGTATAAAAATACTTGGTCAGTAAGTTATATTCTGATTCTAGTTACATGTTTTAATGTGTAGAAGCTCAGATAGACTGTAAAAAGGAAGTTTTCTGAATATATTTCAAATATTTCTTCCCCTAACTGTGCTTAAATGCTCGCTCAGGTGCTGGCGGTGTGTCTGCTGTCTGAGGGTCAGAGGTTGTACCTTCACTGGAGCCACAAGGTACACTCAGACATCATAAAATCGTTTAAAAAGCTTTATTTTCCTGCTGGTCCTTGAATCGTTTGCTCTCCCTCTCTCTCTGATGTTTGTGTCAGATGGGCATCGTGGTGACCCTGGTGTTCTCCGTCACAGCCACCGGCATCATGTCTGACCTCTGGAGCAAAGAGTGGAAAACACTCCTCCTCTCCCTGCAGGTTGAACACACAGTCTTTGTCTTCAATTTCTCTGTTATTTCTGCCTTTATTTACAGCTTTGTGTCTCAACATCAGGTGACGGCACCTTTCCTCAACCTGGCTGCCGTCTCCCTCATGGCAATCCTCTCCTGGCCCGTCGCTTTGCACTTTTTCCGCATGAACAAGAAAGGTAAGCAGCCCGATGAGAGTCGTCTCATAACACGAGTCAGGCCCTCTCCTCCAGCCCTGCAGGGACTTCACCCTGTTGGAACACCTCCTCCAGGGCGTGCTGACGTCCAGGAACTCCTTATCTTGGTTGTTGGATCGTAGTCTAGCAGAACAGATTAATGCCGATGACCTGCAGGTCTGTTCGTCTCTTACCTTGTCTCCATGGGGACGGTCCCTTGTTGCCATGGTGCTTCAGCAGACAGAGATGCTGAGTCATGTCAAGGTCTCTGAGGAACGTAAACGCTGATGTATGGAAGTAAAAAATGATGAGAACACGAGTCGTTTTGTGAAAGATTCATTCTGATGTAACTTAGTTCACCAGTAATATAATTTATAATTAGTAATATCACTTACTGCATTTATTCATGTATAATACTAGAAGTTTAACCCTAAAAATCATCCATAAACTCTGTGTGTGTGTGTGTGTGTGTGTGTGTGTGTGTGTGTGT